CTTTAATCCTTGGTCAGGATCACAATTAATTTATGGGGAAGGAGCTTTAAGATGGCAGAAGAGAAGGATGCAGAGCTCACCTTCTCCCACAAATACATCAAAAGTACATCTACATGTGGAACAAATCTCACAGAATACCTACTGAACTCTGGCAGAAGATTCTGTACAAGTGGAACTATAAGGAAAATCATCACAAAACCGGATAAACAACAAGGTTCTATTGTATGTCATAGGGAACTATATTCAAATACCTTATAATGGCCTATAATGAAAAATAATATGAAAAGAAATATATATATGTGCGTATATGAATGAATCACTATGCTGTACATCAGAAATTAACACATTATAAATCGACTATTCTTTAATTTAAAAAATGAATTTCTAATTGTGAAAGTATGTGCAGGTTTGCTTTTCTTAATGCTTAAGTCAAGAGAAGTACTCAAATATTGTACAAGTATGCCTTACTCTGGGTGATGGATTGCTTCCTGAACAACTGTTTATTGGATTTTTAGTAAATGAAGGTATATATACATTCCCATGGGCACTCTATAAAGAATCTCAGTAATGAACCATTTTTAAAGTGATAAAATTCTAAAATCTGAATAATCAACCCGCCGACTGGGAACTCTGATACCTAATTTATTTGCTTATAAATTAAAGTTTGTTTTGTTTCATTTTATATTGAGTTTTCCAAAGCATGATAGACCTTTAGGACAGAGTCCTGTATGAAACATATCCTAATAATACGTGATTGGTCAATTAGGCACCTAGGATACTTTTAGTCACACAAAACTGTCACTGTAATGAAAGTTGTCACCTTAATGCGGTGATACACAGAAAGGGTAGAGGACTGTCATCGAGCAATGTGAAATGGCAACTTCCCTTCAAGTTAGCACCCTATGTTCCTGGATGGCCACAAAATTAGCATCCTTCTGCCCCACGAAACTCAAGCAGGGTTGCCTGCAATTGAGTTTGTGGGTTTAGATGGACCACAAAGCTTCTTCATTGCATTTGAGATCTAGATTGTGATTGTTTTAGCAGTTAAGTTTGTCAGAATGACTTCAGTAATACCAGAGATGGGTCTGGTGCCATGAGCAGCAGTCTTGGCCCTTCAGTGGCCAACAAGGACTGATTAAGAAGTGAAACATTGGTTAAGTTTCTCTCAATTAGGCCTAAGATAATGTCTTCCTGGAAGCACCTACGCACGGTTATTGCTAGACCCTGGATAAATTTGACTTGCTAAGGGAGCTTTAATGTTTAACACATAGTAAAGAATTACAGAAAATCTTTTAGCTGTGACTTTCATAAGTGCCCCCTGTTTATCCTGTTTGAGTTGCAAACACAGAACGCCACTTTACAGACCATGTTGAGTAATATCTTAAAGTGCTAAACCCAGCCCTTCTATACCTATCCAAACATCCAACTTGAATAGCTTTATTATAATAAGCAGTATCATATAGTTCTATTATAATAAGTAATATCGTAACTTAAAGGCATGAACATTTAAAGTGCAGTCCAGGTTTTGTTAGTCACTAGTTCTGAGATCTAGACAAAGAATACTTATTCAAACTTTAATTACTCCATATGTAAAATTAGAGGATGGGACAATATGTACTATAGGCTCCTTTTGTAAGTAACATTTTAGGAATGACTCCTTGAAGCCTCAAATAGACAGAAAACTACGATGTTATAGGATGATATAATGAGGTTCCATGGTTCCAGTATAAAGAGTTGATGACCAAGAAGTGAATTAACTCAAAACTTAAGTCACTGAAAAACAGAATTCAGGTTTTCTGATATGACACAGATTATTTTCAGTAGATAAACGTAAGATATGTTATTATTACCATGATATTCTTTTCAACTTAAAAATCAACCTCTAATACATAACTTGATTGTACTCATTTTACAGAAGAGAAAACAGACTCAGAGGAGTTAAATATTTCCCCCAAGTTTGCTAGAACTTGAAATAGCCTAGATTTGCTTATTCCCAGTTAGTTTGTTTCATATTTTAGGGTTTATTCAGGTGGAAAATAACAAAAGAACTGGATTTTGTTAGCAAGCAGTTGGTTCTAGGTGCTCTAGGATTATTAAACAAGAATATTCTACTTCACTAACAGGAGGAAACAAATGGAGACAGTTGATTATACTCATCTTGTACCACAGAAGTAAAATCTACTCTGTGGACAGAGAATAAAATGCAATTCACTGAGGGATAATGAACTAAGTTGTGGTTAGTCTAAAAGAGAAGCTGGACTTTCACTACTGTTTTGTGGGAGAAGTCTTCCTGAATAATGATACTCAAACTCATTCTTGGATTCCTTTCTGCTGTGGAGAAGGATAGCTAAAAACTAAGGAGAGAAATAAGAAAGTACAACGGAATATATATTCTATGTAAATTGAGTATGGGGGGGATATGGGCTGGGATGCAATCGTGAAAGGGAAAAAAAACAGTGACAAAATGGAGATTGGATTTTAGAAAAGCAAAAGCAGAGTGAAAGAGATGGATGTAAAGATGAAAGGAATTATTGAAGTGCATTTTCTCTCTTTGTCTTTGACAATGTCAACCACCTATTTATGCATATGTCTTGTGAATTACAGAACCACAAATGAACATGCATATAACAAAAACAAATAGAGAAACCACACATGTGTTCATAACCATTCTGTCTAGTGATGCATTTGTGCATGGACAGAGGCCTGATCATGAGTCCCATTATATCATGGAAACTGAAGCCACTAATTAAGTATTTGGAGAAAGGCAAAAATAACACTCAAAAAACAAAAACTAAAACCTACAACATCAAGAATTTGAACTGATATTCTTTTACTGGGAAAGATAAGTTCCACTGTTTGATGTAAAGACCATCTAGATTAGTCTTCTTGCATTCACTAAATAATTATTCCCAAGCTAACTGACAGTGATTACAGTTAGCAGTTCAGTACACAACCTCAAATTTGTCATATGATACTGCTAATGAGGGGATGTATTTTTCTGATGAAGAATTAACCTAATTGTTGTTGGCTCCCTGTTTTGAAGCAAAGGCCCTGAACTACATTGATGTTTTATGTTTCTCTTGGTCATGGTGTTTTCTTCTTTTTGTTGTGTTTTGATTCAAAGTCAGCAGGAATAACTGTTCATCTGCCAGTGGAGCCATTCTTTTCTGTATGACTTTAGCCTCCACAGATGCAAGGCACATACATATAATGTCATCCTTTATGTGTAAGAATCTATTCTAAATAGGTACTAGATGTCAATTAATATGGAGGGAAAAAGCCAAAAATGTTGGTTTGCTATTTGATTTAAATATCTTAGCCATAATAAACAAACTTTTTTGTTGTTTAGTTTTCTCCTCTTTCATGGAAGCAGCACTTTCTAGAATCAGGTAAATTATTTCTAGGGCTTTATGACATGCTAATGTGTTCCCTTGGATTTCCTGAGTCCTTCTGGTGTTGTTAAGTGCTGTCATTCATTGTTTGAACACTATTTAAGAGTTGCACACTGTTCCCCCAAAGGTCATTAAAGCACTTAATTTTAGAAAGAGATAAGCAGGACAGAAGACCTTATCTATATATCAAATGTGAGTTCATGTGTGACCTGCTACACCAGACAAACTGCTGTCCCTATCAATCCTCCCTCCACCTCACCCTATCCTTGACTAACATGGCTTCTCATTCTCAACCTGGCTTCTAAATTGATTTGCTGTGTAACCTCTGATCAGTCACAGATAGAAACCTACCCTCATGTTGATGTAAAAAGGAAACTGAGAGAAGTAGAATATTCATGTAAAATGAAATTGGGGAGAGATAATCAGCACTCTTATCTATAAAATAAAAATTATTAACTCCAAAAATTTTGGAAGGTTTGTAATTTCAGTCCCAGATAGAAATTAGTGACTGCTCACTGTCTTGGAGAAATCTATCTCAGAATGTGCAATTACAACTTTATAATTTTGAGTTACATATATGTGTAATGCATTCTCTCTTTCTGTCTCTGTCTCTCTCTGACTCTGTGTGTGTGTGTCTGTCTCTCTCTCCAGATGAGCCTGGATAACGACCTACCATGGATGTGTAAAATGTGTTTGACCATGGGCTAGAAGAGTAAGCCCAGATAACCAAGATTCCTTCTAAATTTAAGATCCTCCTCTGGCTCTTCTCTGTCATTTGCTATCAACTCACTTTCTGTTTTCTCATCAAACTTCACCTCTTCATTGTGAATCATCTCAGAAGAAGTTTTCTGCTTGATCTGCCTCACATTTAGTATATTATTTTCAAAATTTACATTTTCCCTTCTGACTGCCTTTGAACTTTGCTCTGAGTTTCCATACTTAGTCCATGTATTAGAATTTGAAAGACATGTAGGTTATATTGGAATATGATTAAAAATAAGTTGCCATTGTACTGTATAGTTTGTAGTTCTTTGTTTTTTCAGTATTATCTTGCTGCTCTGTTAACTATGATTTAGGTAATGGAAGAATAAAGAAATGTTAGGAGCTATTAAGAACTGGGGATATAAAGGAAATGATGTTAATAAAATTGATGCTTTTCTATGTATTAAATGTTACCTGACTGAAATCTTGAACATTGTTTTGTTTTTTAACTTTTTAAACATTTTTTCTTATGCTTTTTTATGCTTAAAATGTTGACCTACATGAAATAAATATCCTCAGTCCACGTGCTATAATTTCAGTAATTAATTAAAAATGTACTTAATGAGCACTTACTGGGTGCTGAACAAATAGGTTTTTCCCATACCTCAAGCTACTTAAAAATCATAGCCTATATGAAGTTGGAACTGATGAAGCAGTAAAGCAAAAGATACTTGCCACTAGAGTTGGTAAAGAAGTTTTTGTTTGTTTGCTTGTTCAATTTTTGTTTTCATCATTTTCCAAGTAAAATATTTTTGTAGGAAAGGATGGAATTTATTTGCATGCTGTAGTCTTTTTTTCTTAGCATTAACAAATTAAATGTGCAAAATTTAGTTAACTCACCAGATACCAACATTTATATCTATACCTATATCTATATCTGCACATGAGTGTATCTCTATGATAAACAGGAATAATGGCAGGTTATAGCATCCAAGAAACTGTTGTCCACAGCACAGGCTTTTCTTTTTGAACCGCTTAAGACATTTTTTGGTTCTTCTATAAACATGATCATGAAGTAATTTTTGTTTCACTTCTTCATAATATAACATCTGAAAACCACCTTTGTTTAATCACCTCAGTTATTTTTCTGAAAAAATTCTTGTGTGTCTGCAGGTGGGGATGGAGGGAGGGTTTACAAGTTAAAGAAACGTTACTTATCTAACTGTTAAACATGAAAACAATAGAAAAAAATCACACAGGTTGTCATTCCATTTTCTATTTTTTCACCTCTTTTTTTTTTTAGGCTTTTAGACTAATGCAGAAAAATCATTATGGCAAAATAACAGTCTTCCCAGACTTTTGAAATGGGATTGTGGGTAAAAGTTCAAAATCTGTTTCTTAAGAGGTTTAAAACATCACTGGCAACAATGAGGTAGTAAATTCTTCCCCCTCACTTTCTCTATATACATGTCTCTTACTTCTACCTGCATTCTTCCAAACTGGGACCTATATACCAATTAATTTTATTATCATAACAGAGAAACAGGAGGAAGCCAGTATAAGCTGTAGGATCATTCTTCATTTAACTGAATAAAACCAAACTGGGGAAATGCATAAAGATGAAATTGTGTGAATTTTAAGCATTTGAACTATTTATAAGCACATGCATAAGGAGATAAGAAAAAAAAACCCTGAAGACTATAGATTTTAAGGCCAACCAGACTTAGGGCTGTGTTTTCATATTAGAGCTAATTGATCTGATGGATTCAAAAAACTATTCCTTGGAAACGTAAGTAACGGTTATCTCCAGGGAAACATTTCTTTATACAGTCAGCCCTCAGTATGTCTTGGTTCTACCACGGTTGCAAATTCAACCAACCACAAATCAAAAATATTTGGAAAAAAGTTCCAGAAAGTTCCAAACAGCAAAAGTTGAATTTGCCACATGCTAGCAATGATTTATATAGCATTACATTGTATTAGGTATTGTAAGTCATCGAGAGCTGATTTAAAGTATACAGAGGAATTACATAGGTTAAATGCAAATACTACAACATTTTATATAAGGGACTTTTGCATCTTGGACTTTGGTATTTTAGGGAGAGTCTGGAACCAAACCCCCATGGAAATGAGGAACAACTGTATAGTATACACAAATTTAGTAGATCCTCTCTATTGTTTAGGACTTCTTTTAATCTTGAGAGGAGGTGGTACAAAGAGTGTTATCTATAACTAGGAAATATTTGGATTAGAAAGTAAATGCATCCACCTGCTTCCTTTATGTTAGGGTTGGATGTACCTCGTAGAGCCCTCAAAAAGATACATTTGAGATTTTTTTTAAATATGTTACTTTATGCATGATTACACAACGTAAGAATTTAGGGATTACTTTAAGAGTTAGTTTAGACTGGAAATAAACGTACCTCAAAAGAGAGTTAAGAAGTTTCATGGGTAACAGATAGACAAGGTATTTTTAAAAGAAGGTCTTTGTGGTAGATATTAAGCTTGAAGACTGAAGTCTGTAAAGAAATCCCATGAGGAACAGAATATGAGTTCAAACACTCAGAAGCTGACTCAGTGGGGCAATTCTTATTCAGAACATCCTAGACAACCTGCTGAGAGAGGCAGCCAGGCCGAGTGTCCAATATTGAATGGGCTGACCAACAAAGCCCACCAAGGAGGAACTCTGGAATGAACAGGACTCCAATGCACTCATGTTTCTCACATTTGCTAATGGTCATGGTCATGGCAGATGCTGTCCACCCACAAGTCAGTACATATGCAACAGAAGACACAGAGTTAGATGAATCAAAAGAAAAGCCAGTAGTGGCGGGAGGGTTTACAGTTTTTGATTCTTGGTTTGAGCATCAATGAACGTGTAGTAGAATGATCATCAAGCAAATTGCAGTAGAACACTGTCCCTGATAAGGAAGATCAAACAATATTAGATCTATAAACATAAATGAACCTTAATACTCTAGCGGGAAGTTTTGTATGGTTAACTTGTACCTAATGTTATCAGTCAATACTTGTTGATTCAGATAGTATACTGAACTTTCTAAGGAGGTAGCATCATTCTAGATACAAGAATTTCCAGGGCTACTTTTGTCCCAATACTTATTCACCATTTGAACATAGTGATTCATTTGTTCTTCTTGTGTCAGTTTTTATACATCCACAAAAGAATGAAACCACAATCTGTCTACCCCTGTATACATATGTCAGATCCGTACTAGTCACCTCAAATGTCCCAGGATTGATATCCCAGTTGACACGATGAATTCAGCCTCTTCTTATTTTCATCACACAAAAGATGTTTATTGCTTAATATAAGAAGTTGTCCTATCTTTTGGACACCTAAATGATATTGGCACCATGATGTACAAGATTTCACTTGCTATGTTTAATAATCACTGTAGCCCCATTTAATGTTATTTATCTGTATGAGATATAATGCTGACAAAACTGCACATTTAAAAGAGGGGCTGAAAGCAATAATCCTATAATAAAAGTGAAGTGTATTAAAGATGGAAAGCACTATTATCACAGGTAAAATCCTTTGAGGGTGCTGAACGTTTCCCTTATTTATAATTTAGTCCCAGCAGGACAACCCTTCTGTGTGCTGATTATCAGAGCAATTCTAGCTTTGGGGAGCAAAAAAAGTCACACACACACCCAGAAGCTGAAATAAGCTTTTCCCTTCATGTGATTTAAGAGCTACTGTCGCTCTGTGGAACTCTGAAAATTATTCCATTTGAAAATAATTCAGCTCCTAGATTATATATTGTCTAGGTTTCCTCTTCCCGCTCTTTACTACTGAGGATATTTAAATGAAACTATTAGCTGATTTTTTTTTTACTTCTTATTCTCCACCTGAAGCTATTATCCTCAATTCATGATATCATACTCATCTGCAAAGCAACCAAACAGGAATATGAATTCAGTGGAGGGAAATAAACAAGATGAATGGAGGGATTTGTAAAACAGAAAGAGCCACTTGGAGAGGGGTCTCTGGGGAGACATGGGCACACATATAGCTCTTTTCACCTCTGAGTTGCTGATTTAATTTTACCTGGATTCAAAGTTACTAAGAGTTTCTTCTATTGTGACCTAATAGTGGCCATGGATAAAGCAAGAAACCCATTTTCTGTTGAATAAGTATCTACCAAAATTAGCTCCTAGGAAGACAATGTTGCCCACGTTTGATGTGAATCAAGTTACAAGTCAACACTCAACACCTGGCCTAGCAAATGGCTGTTTCTCAATATATTTGTACTGAATAGATATTTGATAAATACATCTTTATTGAATTAGAATGTATATCTGTCAAATTGAATGCTTCGTTAATCTTTTTGTAGTAACTCATCTGCCTCAAACAAGATGGGTGGCTCTTTGGGTCAAGGGTCACCCTCCAGGACAGCTGAGGAAACCTCTGTTCTGCCAGTGCTCTGGGAAAGTGCATGTGATGCTTCATTCTGCAAGACTGTCAGCCAGTCTTTGCACCTGGTTTTTTCCTTTTACTGTAGGAGAGTTTTCATTAAGATTCTTTTTGCTAGTACCTGCCACTTGAATAAAATTCAGACATGAGTCACAAGAAGATTCATCATTTTTTGTCCTGTATTTTAAAATGATATTAAATTGTATGTGTCCTTGGGAAAAGAGAGGTATAGAAGAAACCCTGAGAGAGTGGGAGAGCCCTCTGCCTTGCCTTCAAACAGACACATGTCACCCTTTGGTAAATTACCAGTCACAAGAAGTTCGCCTTCCAGAGAAAGCAGAATTACCCAAGAGCACCACCTAAAGCAGAATGGTCTCCTTCTCACAAAAGACCTGATTTCCAGCCTGGTTTTTCCCAAATGATGGCCTCCCTGAAACTAGCTTTCATGGCTGCCCAGAAAGTATACTTCCCTCCCCAGACAAATGTCTCTTCTTTAGTTTAATTACGGTCTCTGACAAAAACCAGGTGTAGAAGTGAAGGAAGCTTATTTTTTTTTTTACTGAAGTATAGTTGATTTACAATGTTGTGTTAATTTCTAGTATACAGCATAGTGATTCATTTATTTATATATATTCTTTTCATATTCTTTTTCACTATAGACCATTACAAGGTATTGAATATAGTTCCCTGTGCTATACAGTAGGATCTTGTTTATTTATTATACAGTAGTCAGTATCTACAAATTGTGTCCATGTCACGTGAAAAATTCTCTGTGCTGATTTTTGCCTGTGCTAGTCTCAAATCTAGGAAAATTATATAAATGTTTCATATTTTTAAAAAGAATTATGGGCTTGCCTAAAGAAAATATATTCTTGGTTATTATATTTTATTGCTTGTAATTACTGAAGAAATAAAATTATGTTCAATAATACTGCTACTTGTATATTGCTGACTGCTGAGTATATATTATCTGTATTGAATTTTGGAAATCTGTTATACATGAAGCACATGAAGATTTCACCTAAAAATAGTAAGCATTTCTGGAGACACATTTTCCCCAAATTCCACAAGTTAATGATGATTGAATTCTGTTGTAAATGAGTTTTGCATATACTTTGATAGATTAGCTACATTTACCCTTTTTCCAAAATCATCTGTTCTGGTAGATGTCAGGAATACATTCCAAACATTTACTGCTATTTAAAACCAGCCCTGGTTAGGAAAACGATCACTTGAAAATCAGAGTTTGGGCCAAATATGTAGCCTGTAATACAGGCGTTTACAGGGGATTTTTTTTTATATATTTAAAGAACTAAAAACACTGGTGGCTTCAATTACTGATAATCCTTACAAACTTTCTGTATTGGTGCAACTTAAAACAAAGCAGAATCTGACAAGAAACATTTATACCATAGAAGACAAAACAAAAATGATAATGGTATTATATTAACACATGACAACTTTTTAAATTTCACATGTTTCACCTAATTCATACCTGTTCTCCACCATGACAACAGAGTGAAGAAAGAACAGATATTTTTACTTTAGAGATGAAGACATAGAGGATTTGAGAAGGGAAGCATCTCAAGGTCACATGATCAACGACTGGTCCCGAAGGGAACTGGCTCCAACTTCCTGAGCCTCAGTTCTCTGCTTTAGTCCCTGTACTAAACTGTAAAGAGGGGGCATTTTCAGGACTTGGTGACTGGAACTTTCAATTTATATGTGCCAAATTGTTCTCCCTTCCTACAGTAGCTTGGCTGTTGGTCAGGATTCAACAGACTGAAAAAAAAAGACCCCGTATTGGCATCCATTTCCATGGTGCTGGCCAGGAATGTTTTAAAATGCTGTGTTACTGGATGATGCTTAGCGGCTGGGGCTTCTAAACAAACTTGCATAGACTTGGAAATAAACATATTTTGAGAATGTGGTTCACATACCAGAGGAGGCAACTGACAGCCTTTGCTAGGTGATTGGCTCTTATCCTGTGGCCCCTCTATCTTGCCAAAAGTCTTGTCTCTGTCCCTTATGATTCTGGACTCTGTTTATTCCCTTCTAGCCAGGGGAAGAGATAACTCAGCACAGATTTAAAGAATGGAATAAGAATGATAGGCTGCCTCTTGTGAAAAGCCCAGGAGGGAATTTTTTTTTTCCTGACAAAATATCTTGGCTAATAAGTAAAATAAATTATTCCATCCTCAAGAAGCTAAAAGACCCTGAACACACAAATGAAAATGAAAGGGAAGGAGAAAGGGAAAGGGAAATGGAGGGAAGGAAAATGCAGGTGGTGGAATCAATATTAAAGAAAAACCAGCAGTCACAGCTTTGAAATGAAATAGTCCTGAGACTTACAGGATTCCTGAAATGAGGGAAAATGAAAAGTAGAGGAAGTTAGACTGAAACGACTTTGAGGAGAATTTTTAAGGAGGTCTGAAGAAGGAAAAAGGATATCAATGATGCAAGGAAGTGGAGTAGAGGCAGGGGAAGACGTCTTGTACCTCCTTTGAAACCCTTACAATCTATTTTTCAAGCTTCACATGAGCTGACATCTTGCTGTTTTCAAAGAAAAGTGTACGTTAGGAAAGTTGGTGAGACAGTCCATTTCTTTTAGTGTTCATGATAATTACCCACTTTGTAATTCAATGAGAAAGAATGACAGCTATGGTAATTATAAATGTAAACAGAAGAGTCATACAATGGCCAGATTCAACATGTCAGTAAGAGTGTGCATTAAATACTGTTTGAAAAACAAGTGAGGACTAAACTTGCATATGAAACTATGCTGTAAAATATAAGAAGCCACACAAATAATAAAATGCTATTACTGCTATTATTTTTAGCATGAATGCAATTCCAAGGACCCACGGACCCTCTCGTCATGTAGGATAGATGCTCTGTTAAGTCTGAAGATACTAGCTCCATCTTTTGAGAGGAAGACGATTTCATTTAAAGCACCACTGTGATTTGGAGCATATTTTTCCCACACCATAGAACTTTGAATTTTCTGTGGCTATTGGGTATCTCCCCACATTGTCTATGTCATATTTTAGTACTAATCAATAAACATAGGTTATACTTACGTCTGAAAGGTGTCAATCTGAAAAGAAAAGATACTTTTCCACATTAACAGTCTTATTCATTAATCTTCTGACACTGCCAGTAAGAAGGTTCAGGGTTGTTATAGGAAAGGGGTGCTAGTTAAGTGATTATGTATGTGTTGCTATTGTATTTTCTATAAGGAAATCAAGATGGTCTTTAAAAGCATCTTCATTCTCTACTAAAAGTGAGGGATAAGTTTGATACATTTCCATGCTCAGGAAATGGACTAGGCTCATGCTGAGCAGGACTTACTTGCAATAGTGCAATAGTGACAATTTGGTCTGATGTAACTAGGGAAAGAGGATGAGAATAGAGAGAAAGGGTTAGAGGGGAGAATCAGCCTGTTGTCTCTGGTTTCTCCCATCCATCCTCAATTTTACAAGAAGGAAAATATCAGGTAATATCGAAAATATCTCTTGGAGAGTCAGCCTCTGGAAACAACCTACAGTTTGGGGATTTACAAAAAACAAAAACAAAAACAAAATCCCACAATTCTGTTGTTTTAGCCAGTGGTAGAGATAAAGCTCTTCTTAAAAGTTATTTAATTGATATCAGTCTGTAACTGTAACATTCTTTTTCCTCCTAATATGTTCTTTCTTTATTCCTTATGAACTAGGAAGTTATGATATTACTTCCTTAACGGGGTCAGTTTAGCAGGAATGAGGTTTACATCTTACCTGTATCATACATAGCTGTGCTATGAAGTCTGTTCCCACGTTCCTTAATCTGTACATATGTATGCCTCCAGGCCCTAAAACCTTCATTTTCTGGCATGTGGGCAAGTGGGTTTTAACTATGCGCTACTCAGACAATATAGAACAACCACAACAACAACAAAAATGTTCTGGAATGTAACTAAGCCAAGGATGTTGTGTTAAATACACATATATATATGTTATGTATTTGCCAAACAGAAGACTTCCTATTAACTCAGGGACTGCAGTTATGTTTCTGTGAAGGAAATATGAGAAGCAAACATATCTGGCCCACTTCACAGTTGACACTGAGATCTAAACTGAAGCCAGTACCCTTCTTCCAGGAAAGACAAACCTCAAGCAAACTCATGGAAATGCTTGGTTTGGACTCCTCGCCAGTTTCCATTTCAAGGCTTCTTAATCTCTCTTCTACTTCCCCTCTTCCAACAAGCTCCTCATTGCCCTGATCCTGCTTTTGGCTCCCATGGCCTCATTGATATTCTATAATGATTTGCTCTTCCTTGACAGCTGGCCATCTCTGGATGCGTCTCCCTGCTCTCCTCCCACAAGGGTGTAGTAGCAGTGATGGTGGTAGTCTAACAATAGCAGTAGCAGTACAGTCACAACAATTTACAGCTGATGAACACTTTACGCTTGTATTGCCCTTAAACAATCATTGTTTTACTGAATCAATCTGACAAGCTTGTAAGAGGGATATTTCTGACCACATTTTGCAAAAGAGTAAATTAAAATTCAGAGAAGTTATATCTTGCACTACTGGCAAAAAATCTTACAGGTGTTGAGCGGGGAAATGGAAGTGGTTCAAGCTTGGGTTTTCTGACTCTAATTCAAAACAAATGCTCTCTTATGCTGGACTTTCAAAAACCTTTTAAGTTATTATTAGAGGTGGAGGTAGAGGAAGACAGTTATTAAAAAGCATAAAGGCCTTCTGAGCTATTAAATTATGCCACAGTGACAAACTGCCTATAAACAAAACCATGCATACTCAGGTTCTCTATTCAGGTAGATTGGGTGAAATAAAATAAATATTTTCCAAGTATTTGGAAAAATTTAAGCTGATAAAAATTTAAGCTGGTAAAAATTTAAGCATATGCCAGGCTCCTCAAGAAATGAAGCAGTAAGAAGGCCAAATTCCTAGGTGATATTAATAAAGATACAGCCTGCCACATGTTATACGAGATGTTGAGAATATTACAATGTAAAGTTTGGTGGAGAGCGATATCAAATACCAAATGGATTTCATTTCAGAAAAAAAAAAGTGGTAGGCTAGAAGACTTTTAAACCACTCACCAACATAAATATATACACACACACAAAACATAAAAGGTTTGAAAGCTAAAGCATATGAAAAGAGAAACTCTTCAGAATAACCTTTGCTATGATCCCTGTTCCCCAATGATTGATGGCTCCCTAGTCTTTCCAAGAGAGGTTTCAACAAGACTCTCTGGGAGTGTTTATGCAGTAAGGGGTGACAGGGGACTTGCATCTGACTTTCATCTGAACATTCAGAGGCACAAGAGATAGGCTGTAAGTGGAGCCAAGATGAAGTCAATTATATTATTTGGTCTAGCATTTACAGGGATCTTTGGGTGTTCCTTGTGTACTAACATGTAACCCACATGGCAGAGAGCCAGGATGAGGTCCTCTAGGTTCTTTCCAATAGGGTAACCTGTAGAGGAAGGTAGAATTAAGCAAAAAACAACTGAAGTTATTAAACTTGATTAGTAGGGCTTTCAAAAGAGTCAATTATCATTAGAAAGGGAGGATGTGTGGTCAAAAGAGCTGCAGGTGAGTACTTTTCAGAGATGGATAGTGTCTCCCAAGAATCCTCGAAGGTATCCATTAGAGAGTTAGCTGAACTTTTTCCAGCATTAGAGAATGCAAAACTGTCTTATGACAGTACCCACAAGGTCAGATATTTCTTGTTCTCCTTACTCTTCTTCCCTCTCCAAAGCCCAATCCCAGACAAATAAAGAGGTAGAAAAGAAAAAAAGAATAGAATACTGACTGAATGGGAAAGGAGGAGAAAAGAAGCTGGTACTCCCTTTTTCCCAACTGAAATAGACCTTATCTTGAGATGAGGGAGAAATCTTTGAATAAAGATTAAATTGTTGACTAATTAATAGGGATTGACAGTTTATCTTTAACCAAATCTATGCTTTGTACTGAAAGTTACGTTAGGGCTTTGGATTATCTGAGTGACCAGCAGTCTTGGTCAGGAATAGAGAAAAAAAATATCCCCAGGAATAAATTTAGAAAAAATACTGGGAATCAAAAAATAAGGTTGGTTTATAATGAAACTCATGAGCCTTGCTTTTTCAAAGTCCAGATAAAGGGTGTGATGCTATGAGGAGTCTACCCAACAGGAGACCACATTCCCTCCTTAGTCTTCTCTAGTTTTTATTTTTCTTCTCATTATGATGGGTCTAACTTAGTCAAAACATTATTTTTATATAGGCTTGTGATTTTACATATGGTCAAAAGGTTAAAAAAAATGGGACATTTTTATTATTGGTGTTTTCCAAAAATAAAGAAGGAAAGGGTGATTGGAAGTCTGATTTTAGAGCTCCATCACTGGAAAGGCCAATTTGTTTCATGCCTGAAATTGCTTCTTTATCGTCATATTTCCTCTTGTGGAATAATTCACTACCTGGTCCCTTAACTCAGATTTCTGTAATTCCCCCTTCCAAAAAAATGTTCATTTTTGTATGTATTGATCCTCCAAAGCTATCAGTTTAAAGACTCCTCTTTTTTTTTAAATAATTTTTTCCCATAGGAGAGACATATACATACCTCAGGACTCAAAAGGACCTAGAAGGCATACAATTTGCTAACAATGCATTTGCATGTTTCTGGTTCAACAATTTAATATTAAATTTTATTTTCTCCAGGGCTAATACATCATGGAACCCACAGACCATTTCTGAGAAATTCAGCCTATCTTCTTTCTTAGCACCACGTGAGATTTTTATAGCATTTCATTCTTGACTCCAGCATAAGGCATTGCTAGGGTGGTACTGAAAAAAGGGTAACTACTGAGTTTAATTCCCTGGTGGCTGTCACTCTGCTGTATATGAGACAGCTCATCAGCAGCATTGCTTCTTTCTCATGGAGTCCTAATACAAAGAACCCACAGGATAGTTTCCAAACTATCCCCCTAAAATGATCAACTTTATCTAAAATCCAAATACTTGATGTCTGAAATGGTCAAGTCCATCCATAATCCCAAATTATCTGCTCATTGATGCTATTTGAAGACATGTAATGACATATATTATGAAAATATAATAAATCAGGACAAGTATATATCCCCCAAATTCCTCACCCTGTAGTAAAGTATCTTTGCTTAGTAAATGGTTGAATGATCTAGCTGCTTTCAAAGAGAGACACCAGAAGGAACAAAGAGAGTAAAGGTCTTGATCTCAAAGTTGAGACCAAAATCCTGATCCCTGCACTGGGCTGACTTGAAGCTTGAGCTTTAGGGTTGGCTCAGCCCCAAAATGGCTCTGTGGTTTAGGACACTCTCTTCAATTTCCTGACCCTAAATTGTACCAAGGTACTTTTTAAAATGCAAATTATCTCATGTCACT